ACAGGACGTCCAGGCCTCTCTGAAGTTTGGCAGCCAGAGCTCCGATGACCCTACCCTTGTAGACGATGGATGTGTCATCTGCGAACAGAAACAACGATCCACCATCAGGGAGAGCCGGCATATCAACCTGTTCAAATAGAATGGGGCCAAGGATGCTTCCTTGTGGAACCGGAGCACCGATGTTGAAAGCATCCGATGTGATGCCATTTAGAGATACTCGGAACGTCCTGTTCGATAGATAGTTGTTAATTATCTTCAGATTGGAAGACCTTAGTGCTGCAATTTGAACACCAGGCCATTATGCCAGACATTGTCGAACACTTTTTCAACGTCCAACAACGCCATGGCAGATGTTTTCGAAACAGACTTGTTCCGTCTGAGAATGTTTGTTACTCGAGTCAACTGGTGGACGGTCGAACGACCTTTCCGAAAACCAAACTGTTCCTCGAGTAACAAGTTGTTTTCATCGGCAGATGTTAAGAGCCGGTGGTACACTGCTCTTTCGAACAGTTTTGATAACCCTGAGAGAAGGCTGATTGGTCGATAACTTGAAGGAGAGGACGGATCCTTCCCAGGTTTCTAGATGGGTATGACTTTAGCTGACTTCCAGCACGAGGGGAAGTAGCCAAGTCGAATGCACAGGTTGTTGAGTCTGGAACTCAAGGGTTTGAGTTCCAGATTCAGGATGTTGTCGAAACCTGGGGCCTTTATGTTTTTAGATGATTTGATATAGGCTAACAGTTCGTCAGTCGTAATCTCGGATTCCTCGGAAAAATATTGGGAATCTGATAGAGGTTGGTTGCGTTTTCAGCAACCTCAGCTTCGTGAGGGCTGACGATGTTTTGTCCGAGATTATGAGAGCTGCCCAAGTAACAATTTTGGATTAATGAAGGTTCTGGGAGACCTTGATTTAGACTTGAAGCATGCTTTAAAACCTCGATAAAACTTGCAATGTTACTTGGTTGACGAAGTGTTGACCTATCGCGGCAGCCTTCTCTTCAGGAGCTATCAGATGGGTCGCCGGGACTATCCAGTGGGGTCAGTGGTGCAATGGGTCTTGGCTTATTTTTAAGAATTTTGGTTAGTTTCCGAAAGGGCTTTGCACAATCTGGGAGAGAGCGGATTCTGTTAGCAAAGTCCTGATTTCTGAGGTCCACCATCCTGGCTTGTTAGGCGATTACAGTGGGTCTTAAGGACACGCAGACCAGAGCGATGGTACTGCCTTCGGATGGTGTTACGGAGTCATATAACTTCTTCTTCTTATTCGCATTTCAAGCTTATTGCTTTGCGCATATTAGCTTATTGCGTGCTCTCAACTTAGTGTTCTAAATGCACTTCCACAGTTATTAATTGAGAGCTTTCGATGTCAATACCAATGCATGAATTTGTATATTCTGTGGCAAGCACAATGATACCAACAATCAATACGAAACTAACGATTTTAAATTGGCTCACCACTTTAGTAGCCTATTGGTCCCAAGCAAACGATTACCGTACCCTATTCTAGTCGAAATTCTAGTACTACGCAATGTTTGTTTTGATTCGTTATGAAAGTTTGACAGATAAAATGAGGGGTTATTGGTTTTCCCTATGTTTCGAGGGGTGAATCGATTAGCTCGGGACCGAAGAGAGTACCAGAGCTGAGCCAAAAAGTTGAGCACGTTATTTCGGGACCTTCTAGTCTTAGAGTTACCTCTATGATGATACTCTATGTCCAGGGAAGTCGAGAAAATTTCCAACCCGAAAGATTCTCTCGACCGGACCGGGAATCGAACCCGCCGCCTCCGGCTTGGTAATACCGTGCCTTTACTGACTAGGCTATGAGGAGTCATATAAGGTCTTTGGTAAATCTGTTAAGGTTCTGAGTATTACTCACCTGTCTGGATACTGGCACGTGTTGTTCCCTGGCCCGGGATATCGCCTCCTCGATGGAATGCAGACACTGGTCAACGTCTTCGGGCGTCTCCGAAAGGATACCGCCCAACTAACATTTTCAGCTTTGTAAGCCAACTTTTCCAGCGTTGTGCTGTAAAGTAACTGAAAAGAAGCTGCAGATACAGCTACAAGCAAAAACTAGCAAAATAGTTTTGGAGAGCGTTTACTCAACTTTCTCACAACCATTATTCAATTTGTCAGTCGCACTGAATAACATCAGCCAATAAACGCTAATGTCACTTTTAATCAACTTTCAACTTGTAGCGGCAAAACAAAGCTAACAAAGTGAATATGTTACTCATTTGATGGCTTCTACACAACCAACCACTCTTGCTGAATAAAATAAACATCAAAAGTGCTTTTTCAACAACTCAGCTTATAAACTGTGTTAGAGCAACTTCGGAAGCATTTTCACAGTCAACTAGGTTTATTTTTAGACGTGTGCAGTTTTACAACTTTTACTCTGCTCTTTTATAACTAGTCGAGAAAAGTGATTCATGTGCACTATTATACAGCCTCTACTCAGTGATTTTGTTGTAGAAGAGAATGTTGATTTGTTTACATAAGTTCAAAGTGTTGGCGTAGCACAGTTGGAATTGTCAAGGTTTGCCAATGAGGTCGTCTCGAGTTCGATTCCAGGTTCCGGTGCAGGGTAAATAATTTGGTGATGATTTGTAAATTAATTCCGATTAATTTGATTCACAGCAAATTAAACTCAATAAATTCCTTCATAAAAAAGCGTAAACAGTATTTAACCCGGCTTCAAGAGAAAGCTGTGTAGTGATTATTGTACAACCGGGAAGAGGTTGAATAAGCGCCTTTCAAGTTCACACACAACTAAACAGCAGGATAACAGCTGTATAGAAGCGTTAATGGATATGCAATAAGAGCTTCTCTCGACCGTTCCAATAGCCATAAGTAGCTGACTAAGTTCGCCAGATTTGCTTGTAACAGATTTGTTGAGTAAAGGTTTCCTCATATCGTACAACGTTTGAATACAGCTTGAGACTGTATAAATGAAATGAGTAAAGCGTTTACATTGTGAAAATTGTTAGTTGGGCGTAGTCGACAGTGGAATCGACACAGTGTTGGAACTGATCCCAGCTGACGCGATGGTAGTTGCGTCGTCGGGAAGCTTGGAATCGGTTGACGGATTGGCCACATTGGCCACCACCGGATAGTGGTCCGAACTCAGCTCCTGGTGGGTCACAGGTTGTGAGATGTTATGGTGGAGTGAACGCCTGACCGGCTCAAGCGGGTGGGAGAGTTCAGCGCTATTAAGGTGTAATTTGCCTCTTGCAGGTCATCGTTCAGGATTGCGTCGACTGTTGCTCCAAGCCTGGTGTTTGGCGTTCAGGTCGCCAGCGATGATGTACTTTTCACGGCGTCGAGTTTGTTTGATGATGTCTCTCCGCAGGTCTGCTGCCGACCCAGCCCTGATGGTGACTTGTTTGGGACAGTAGGCCGCAATGATAGTAATAGGGCCGACAGGAGTGGAGACTTCCACATCCACCGCTTCGATCATCTTCAGCTGGAAACTCGGTAGTAGTCGACAGCCAATATTTCTCCTCAATGCGATAGCCACTCCTCCTCCGCAGGAGCTGGTCCGGTCTAGCCTTACGAGCCGAAAATCGAAGAAGTGAACATTTATCCCCGGCTTCAGGTGTGTTTCGGTGATGACAGCGATGTCTATGCTATGTTCATTGAGGAAATCAACGAACTCAATTATTTTGCTCTTGAGCGAGCAAGCGTTCCAGTTGGCTATTTTGATGACTTCACGGTCCATACCTTTGCAAGAGGGTCATAACTGCACGAAGCTGTTCAGGTAGTGTCTTGGTGGTGCGCAAGATTATGATCACCTCAGTCACGAGGATCACTAGTTCGTCGCTTGTGAGTGGAGAATTTTCTTCTGACTTTGCTATGGTACGCCGCATAAACAGATTCTGTAACGTGGTCGTTTGATGTTTTTTTTAACGATGTTGTAATTTGTATGTTTGTCAATTTTTCGAAAAAAGTTTGTTTCCCCAAATGCATTACGACTAGACAATCATCTCATGTAGGTTTTTTACGAAAATATTCAGAAAACAAATTGACTGGGGGCCATCCATAAATTAAGTCACGCATTTAGGAGGAAGGTGCTCGAAAAAAATGTTTTTACTAAGCTCAAACGAGACATAACATTTGCTTACGTTACAAAAAATAGATATTGACAAATTGGGTTTTTTTTAAATCGAAATCGGATGAAACATTATTTCTTATTACGGAACACAAATATTTTCCATCATATACCAAAACTTGGAATCTTACTGTTGTATTTTTCCGTTAAAAGTAATAGATAAAAGTATGTTGATTTAATCTATTAATATTTTGGTATATTTTTTCAAATCAGGTTATAATGGTTATAAGTATTTCAAATCAGTGAAAAATTTCATGGTTTTAGTAAACCTGCTTTATGAAATATCAATTTTCAGAATACGTTGACATCAAAGCATAAATAACATCTCACGCTGAAAGTCTTGGGTTTGAATCTCATGCCGGGACAAGTTACAAAGGACTACAAAATTGGTTAAAGTGGCTGCAGTCAAATCTCCATATACCGACGTGCTATATCTCAATTTCATTAAAGGAATTTTAACTCTTGGTACAGTCATTCTTCTTAACTTCTACACATTTCATACTCTCGCTGTGCTGATGGGCACAAGCTTTAACAGCGTCGTATTTAGCTGCATGATCGTAGAAAATTAGCTAAAATAATAATATTCCTTCTCTTCAGCATGCTTTATCCTACCAACATATCATACTTGATGCCTCCTAATACAATAATTTAGCACTAATCCTAAAAATCATCATTAACATCGACACCGCAAGAGGCAATCCACTAATCGATATTTTCTGCTTTTCCCTTTTCATCTCGCCTCATTATCCACCCGGATGGATGGACGCTATGCCCTGCCAACTGCAAACGGGACAACGAAAATACATAACCGCCCCAACTTTTCTCGCCACATGTGGTTGGTTTTCCTGTGCCACATTTTCTCCGGTCATCCAATAATAATCGCCAACAGATGCGAACCAGTCCTCCTCTTCGCAGGAGGGTGGCGGAGGAGGTGGAGGAGGAGGTGGGGTCATCAGCGGTGGTGTGGGAGTAGCCGGAGCAAAACTTCCCTCGCACCAGGATCTGCTGTCCCTAGGTCATATAAATAGCGGTGACAGTCTGCTCGGAAGTAGCAGAGGCAATCGCAATGACCACAATGTCGTGTCACCGGCCGTGATGGCAAAGTTTCTCGAAGACGAACTGAAATCGAGTGAGGCTTTGCTTAATTCCTGCGTGAAGCATTGCGAGACCTGTGTCTGCCCAAGGAACGCCAACTTTACGAGTGGGTCACTAATCTTGGCTGATTTACTGGGTGATGGACAGAAGTACTACAGCATCGGAACGCAGACCATCATCAAGGGAGAGACAAACAATTCGCTGTGCTTAAGGTGTAACAATAATTTGAACTCGCCGTCCCACAACAATAGTCCTTATATCATGAAGTTGATCAAATCGAGCGATAGCGTCATATCGGAGACGAAGAGTAGTGTGTCCGACTACTTGACGACGCCGGACAAGACCTCGCCCAACAACGGGGGAAGTAGTGGTCAGTTGGCGCTTCCACCCGCGAAGAAGGATGACCTGATGGTGAATCCCATTCTAGGTCATCACCGAATAAGTGAAAGAACTAACAACTATAACAGTACATCGCCCAACTCGGATCCTCCAGTGCAGACGGGAGTTGGATTGGCCAAAAGCAGTAGCTACTCCAGCGGCAATGGAGGAAAATTGCCTCACCTAAATCAAAGCAAGAAGCACCTGGACATAATTAAACCGAAATCTCAAGCACCTCTAGCTGGGGGGAACAAGTTCACCGGTGAATCTCCATCGTACATTATTAAGGACATGGATCAGATGAGCGGAAGTCTTGCACTGCAGACGCCCAAGTCCGGCGTTGGGGGAGGATTTGGAAGTGTAAGTAGCCAGAATAAGATGGCAAGTGGAAGCGTTGGTAGTGGACTGTACCATGCGGTTGGCAGCACAAACAGTCTGTGGAGTAGAACCAGTAGCCGAGATCCTGAACGGGATGGGGCGAAGATATTTGAGAGTTTCAATAGGAACCTCATCAAAACTATCAAGGTAAGGCACGGCATGACATATATCCGATACGATGGATGATTGATTCTTTCATTTTTTTTAGGCTGAAAATCCAAAGATGTCCGGACCACGGATTTGCGCTCTCCGGATTCAAAACGGATCTAGTAATATTCTACTGGACAGTATGCAAGACGACGTCGTTGATGATCTACTTGATACCAAATCATCAACGGGACCTGTGATCTACACCAGACGATCCAAATTTCTGGACGAGGAACTGTTACTAGATGATGATCCGTCGATAGGACTGAATGGTGCCATAAAAACGACAAGCCTTCCGACTGCAAGCACTAGTGTAAATAATAGTAGTAGCAATGGTAGCAAGCAGACTTCAATGATTGCCAATGGCTCGGGTAGTGGAGTGCTGAGCAGTGGTCATGGTTCCGGTGGTAATCAAGGTGCGGACACATCCCATCAGGATAGCTCATCAAAAGACGTGTGTAACATGAGCACAACTACGTCGCCAAACTCTTCTGATCGCCTATGTACGATCGGAGAAGAAGTCAGCAATCTACTGTTGAACACAAAGATCATCTCCACCATTGCCCCCACCAAACTGAGACCCGATATCAGTGTGAACAAACTGGACGGCATCGATTTGAATTCGAAGAAATCCTGCACGCAATCAAGCTCAATATCCAGCGAGATAGATATTCAGGAAAGTGCCATGCTCAGAAGGCAGCAGTTGTCTCGAGTGGCGGAATGGGTACAGAACAACTCCAAGATTGGCCACCCGGAGAACTTAAGCAACATCGAGTCGGATAACGAGAACCTAGCGCTGGCTTCAACCACTCCGCTCACCCTAGTCGATAGCATCAACAATAACAATGCACCTAGCAATGGCATTGCGACGCTTGATCCCAAAGGAAACAGTAATAGCGACACAAAACTGGTAGCTAGTGATATGAAAATAAGTCGTAGTAATAGTAACAATGCCACGGCACAACCAATACTTAGCGATAATGTCCTTAGCAATAGTAACTCGTTCAACAATAACCACATCGTCAGCAGTAACAACAACAACAACAATACATTTGCTCAAGCCAACAACAACAATGGATCCGTTATGCGAACATTTGGCCACGCTAGTCTTAAGGCCCAGCTAGACTTTAACAGCAACAATCACAGTGCGTATCATGGAAACATCAGCAATAGAGCTATCTACGGCAGTGGAGGCACAACCACCAGGGGCAGCAAGCTTTCGCTGTTGGAATGTTCCCGCCAGATTGAAGAGTTGAAAATGCTTCCGGAACACCCGTTACGGCCGAACCAGGGCTGCGATCTGGACGATAGCAGCAGTGTGGATATAGCGCAGATGGAGTACAATGTGAAGCAGTTTCTGTTGAAGCAAAACGAGTGGTCGTCCATATCGCGACGGCTTTCGTCGTCCAACACGTCCGGAATAAACGAACCGCAGCAGCACCAGCAGCTGCAATCGGTGGTGGTTGATGAACCAGGAAAGAAGAACGTATCCGCTAATGGCAGAAGCAGTGAGGGTGGCGTGAAGGGAAGCTTCCCCGGGACAGCAGTTCAGCAGACGTCGTCACAATTTCACATGAACAAGTACCCGATTAATCCGCACAGGACGGAGACGAATCTGTAAGGTGGTTGGTGATGTGCTAGTGGATTAAGGGAGGGTCTGGAAAGGGCGGATGGGTGCTGTCGAGTGTTGTGGTCGCTACTGAATTGGCTGTCGGAATTTGTTGACGGCATAGAAGCGTGAAAAGTAGATCCAGTTGGTAGTTGGTACAGACGAAGGCAGTTGTATGTTTTCTTCGGCAGAGTTGCTTTTTGTTAAATATGAAATCTTTTAAAGATTTGATATCTGGTAAATTTAGAGTTATAATCATATGACGAAGTCTATACAAAATATTGTGGAGCTCAATCACAAAAATCAGCGAAGCCCAGTGTAATGATACCACTATCTAAAGATATCCATCTGGGTTCATAGGTCTATAATATATCATTTAGAAAACAATTCAATGTCGGAAGACGTACTCGGTCAATATGTGGGATATTAATCACTGCTAGGACATCATCTCATTCTTGACCCATTTAGTAGATCAAATGATCTGATTTTTGACGTAGGACTCCGTCTGTGATTTCTATATGGGGGTACACTTTAAGAAATCCGAAAATGGAACATGTAACAAAGTTATGAAAGATTTTGAACGTTAATAACTCAGCTGCCCCTCGACCAATTTCAAACATTTTATCACCAATCGATCAGAAATATTCCTACGCATCTGTTAAATTCACGACTTTATAATTTCTCAAAATGTCACTTTTGAAAATTGCAACTGTTGCTATGATAACTAAAATTTTCACCGATTGCCTGCGAAAAGTGATTTGCCTAGCACAGATTTCAAAGTTCAATTCCATCGGGTTTCACCAAACAGTGTTTATACAATCACCGCGTGGTGAGTGGTGGTGATCTCCAGTACACAACGAAAGGCTTCCCGCAAGCAGACAGCTATCTAGGGTGCCCACAACCGCTGATCAGCCATGTGAGCCATCTATGCCAAGCGCGTCATACAAAAGAGTATAAACAGAGAGAACCCCGCTCAAATTCCTTTTCCTGCACAAAACACAAGCTCCTGCTGCAGCTAACAAATTACATTTAATATATAAGACCATGTAATCCTACGCAACCATTGTGTACAACCCCATAGGGCTGTCCCTTGTAGTTTTCAATCATTCGGAAACTAAGAACACTTTTTATCCATGAAAGTTGATCCACAGTGCTCTTAAACCCTATGAAACTGTGTAGATAATTGTTGCTGAAAATATTGAAAATTATCAGGATGGAAACTTCCCAAGAGTTCCCAAAATCTTCCAGATGTTCATGGATTTCCCTGAAACTTTTGGACTTCCCCGAACTTCACGTAACTTCTGTGAAGATTTAAATCTTTGATTAAATTCTATCAACCTTTTATTGCTCTCTGGATTTTCCTGAACTTTTATTGACTTTTCGATGATCCTGGACTTCACAGGAATTCGCATGACTTTCAAAAATACCCTGGACTTCCCTGAATTCAACAGAACTATTAAAATTTTCTACAATTTTCCTGAGGTTAATTGAACTGTTGAAGTTCCTTGATCTTCCCTGAAGTTTGCTTCCGGAATTTCTCTTAAAATCTCCATTCTTTTATTGAACTTCGGTGGATTTTCCTGAATTTTTCAAAATTTACTAGATGTTCTTGGAATTCCTTCTCTGACAAGGATCGTCGTATGAAAGAAGCTCTCGATTCCGGAAGCTCAAGATGCTCCAAAAAAAGCTGAGAGTTTGCAGGAGAAAATTGTTCTGCTCAAATGATAAACATTTTTAAAAGTATTCAAAAAATAAACAAATATTCAACTTGGAATCTCTCGTTGTAATGTAAACTCACCGAGAGAATAAAATGTTAATGATAATTAAACTTACATTATTTTGCTATGTCTGCGGTTGTCATATGGAGTTCCAGAGAGTACGAAACTGACTAATGCATGAGCAGTGCATCCTCAGGTTCGTTTGTCAAAGCAAGAATAATCACTGCTCTGCTATTTTACAATAATTTATATGTTAAGAGAAAGGATCGTCCACGGGTTGATTTTTATTTGGTTGTGAAATTATGAACACAAATTAAGAGCTTGGTGACATTGATTAAATAGTCCTTTTATTACTTAGTAATGAATAGTGAGCCTAGTTATGAGCAGTAGTTATTCATTATTATATTATAATATGTATTTATAGGTAGTCGGTAGTCGGTCATATGTTCTCTAAAAATTGTATTAGTATCAAGTTCTGTTGTACGTGCCATGAGTATGCTAACTAACCTTAATTTACACTACGGTAAAGCACATCACGAAGTTTTGATGACTGGAATATTTCTGAAAACCGACTGGAAAGTCAAGGAAAGTCAGGGAATTTTATTTTCGACTTTGAGTCGACACCCGGCCGCGTTTTTTTTTTTGTGAAAACATTAGGAATTGTGATAAAAGATAGAATTTGGGGTCGTGACATAAAAAATGACCCGAATGACCTTGGGACTGTCCTCCGGAAGATCCATAAAAGTGGTCCATCCATAAAACTGATCCTAGATCTCCGCAGTTTTTTTTTTGTAATATTAGGAACTGTGCTATAAGAATGAATATGGGGTTGTGACATAAATATGACCCGGATGGCTATGAGTATCAGCCAATCAACGATCTTGTTTATATGAAACTCCTCGACATTTTTTTTAACAAAGTGTTCAACATGAGCTGAGGATTTCAAAATGGCTGAAGCTTAACTAAAAAACTTGAAATGAACCAGTGAAACTGCCTATGTGTGTCTATGCCCATTTAGCAATATAGTTGATTTCGTGCAAGCTGGTGGTATGAAGATCTAACCCTCACGTATGTATTGGTTGAGGAAAAAATGTAAACATTTCAGAAGACGTTAAAATAGAAGCTCTAAAATCAATTTCATGGAATAAGCACTCTTATGGATGTTCCGGATCTCACGGAAAATGGTCTCATAGCCATCCTGGTCCATATTTATGTCACGACTCCAAATTATTTCTTATATCACAGTTCTAGGATCAGTTTTATGAATTTACCACTTTTACAGATGTTCCAGATCTTCCAGAGGATGGTCAAATGGCCATCCAGGTCCATGTTTACGACACAACCTAATTTTTTTTCTCTTATATCACAGTTCCAAGTGTTTAAAAAAAATCCGTGGAGCTCTAGTATCAGTTTTATGGATTGACCACATTAAAGGATGCTCCGGATCTTCCGGAGGACGGTCCAATGGCCATTCAGGTCCATGTTTATGTCACGACCCCAAACTCATTCTTATATCACAGTTGCATGTGTTTTCGTGTTTCCTGTGGAGCTCTAGGATCAGTTTCATCGATGGACCACTATTACGGATGTTTTGGATTTTTCGGAGGATGACCTCAAGGCCATTCGGGAGCATGTTTATGTCACGACCGCAATTTCTTCTTATATCACAGATCTACGTGTTTTCGAAAAAAAAACTGTGGAGCTCTAGGAACAGTTTCATGGATGGACCACTTTTAGGGATGTTCCGGATCCTCCGGAGGACGGTCCCATGGTTATGTTTATTTCACGACCCCAAATTCTTTCTTATATCACAGTTCCAAATGTTTTCGAAAAAAAAATGCGGAGCTTTAGAATCAGTTTCATGGATTGTTCATGTTTATGTCATGACTCCAAATTCTATCTTATATCTCAGTTACAATTTAAAAAAAAAAAAAAAAAAACGCGGCGCTCTAGGATTAGTTTCATAGATTGACCACATTTATGAATGTTCCGGATCTTCCGGAGGACCGTTCCGTTATCTCCAGGATCCATATGTAGGAACCATGACTGTATTCTGGCTGATTATGAACATTTGTGCTAATTAATTTAAATTATAGATCTTAAGCCACTTGCAAAGCCCACAATCACTCCTTTTTGAAAAAGGGGGTAACGACTTTTTTCGCTTTTAAAAAAGTAGACGACCCTATTGTCATTATTTCTAAGACCAAAACAATCTACAGACGCTAGGAATTCTAGAGGTACTGCAATTTTTAAATTCATCAAGAAATGGCTAAGCTATGCCATTGCAAACTTGTCGTTACAGGCTTTTCGGAGGCATCGTATTCGGAGCTTTCACACATTGGATGTCCATCCCAAGTTACAATTTAACAGCCTTTTGGATTTCACTCTAATTGATTGTAGTTTTATAACGGCAATAGGCAATCTTTTTAGTTTAAATGCAGAATTTAACAGCGCAAAACATTCATGATTAGTAGTTCAGCGTTATGCTGTTTCAAAAACCTTTTAAAGTCTGACGACAAAATCATAAAGTGTCTGGTTTTAAAAATGAATTTAATACAGCACTCTATTCATTTAAAAAACTGTTCAGTAAATCAATTGGTATTTGTTTTATTGATGTCATGACAAAATTCTCCCTAAAGGTGTTTTATCATTATAAAAGCAATTATGAAACCGTTCGGTTTCAAACGGGATCAAAAAGCATATATTGATGCGTTTTGGTGTCAATTAAGTGTATCACAAAACCTGCCACTATTTAAAAATAAAAATAAAAAGATGGATCAACCTAGAGACAGAGAAAAACATAATCGAGTGGGGCCTTCAAATGCAGAGTCACTTGGAAATGCGAATGGATAATCGAGTAATAATTCTAGCAATGCTGTCGACGGAAGAGAAAATCAATCCAATTCTAGAACTTTCTGACAGGGCAGCTCCGACAACATCGGTCAACAACAACTGAGAGGAACGAAGTGAATGCGGTTTGCGAAGCACTGGAAGCCGTCAAATTATACGCTTAGAATTGATGGGAATAAACAGCATATTGTCAATGGCAGCCTTCTCCAGAAATAACGTTGCGATGAAGATCCGAATAGCATCAGTGCCAAACTGGGACTGCGGAAAACTGCTGACAGGAAATTCATCCGGAAGAAGGAAAATTTTTCGGGAACGATTGAGCTTCCACCTGTTCCAAGTTACGTAGACTCAGTAACTGCTTCCAAGTAACTGTAACTGAGTAACTGCTTCCAATAGATGAATTGCCCTTATCATGGATGTCACGCAACTTGTTGATATAACGATGGAGTAGAACATCGTTGCAATGACCGCACAACAAAACTATCGAAAGATAAACAAATTTTGACGTTTAATTTTTTTCCAGCCAACTTTGCCACAATTAATGCCGTCATAAAACTAAACGGAATAGGATCAAGCAAAATGGCTTCAGATAAAAACAATTCAGTCTGCAAATTATCTTCATAAATGTCGCATTCAAATGTTTTGCATTTGCATTATCTTCATAAATGCCGCATTAAAATGTTTTGCATTTGTTAGCGATTTCATGAAATCAAAAGAGCTTTTTGACAAATGGCTTATGGAAAATTAATGTTTATGCTATCGCCATATTGTTATTATTCCATTTGCATTTTTACAATCTTCGTTTTTCAAGATGTTTTTCCTTTAAATTAACTTTATTCTCTTCAATTCATCAATGAGCAGTAATAGAAATTACGAAAATCATCAAATTGCCTCGGCTGAGAGCAATGATTAACATAACATTTTGTTTTCTAAATTAAAAATAATTAGTAAAATCAACGTTTTCCGAAGGCGGACTTATTTTTTTTGATCTTCCGAAGCACACTTCACATTAGTTTTAATCTGTTACCTAAAAATAGACCACAATATGAGTTTCGATAATTTTAGTAATTCTTACACTTGATGAGGATGAGGAAATTTATGAGGATTTTCGACAGATTCATTTTTGAACAATGAATTCGGCAAGATGGGCCGATATTTATGTATCTCTTTTTATCTTGATTGATGCTTTATTTTTAGTGCGCTTCGTAAACGTCAAAGGCAAATGGCACAAGTATTGATGCCAAATGGCTTTTATTGTAGTGATGCCAAATGGCTTTTATTGTAAGGATTTCAAATGGTTCTCAATGCATTTGTCATATAACCTTTTTGCAGCAAGTAATTCTTGAAATGTCTCGATAATGCACTCTTTAGAACCTTCTTCAGGGTGGGTCAACTGGACAGATTCTAATCTTAATGAGGTTTTGGTGGATGCAAAGCTATCTTGACCAGGGTTTTATGAATGTTGTTTTATAGAATACAAGGCTTCATAAAACGTTAAATGTTACTTAGGATAGAAAGCCCATCGATGACAAAGAACCTGTGGAAGTGTTTCGTAATAACATTAAGTTGGGATTTGATGATTTCTGTTCGATAGGCCCAAAATTGGTGATAAGGTCGAATAGGTTATCTACCCTATTTGTAAAAAAAAAAATATTTAGGATTTTGGAGATTTTGAGAATTTTATCTTGGAGCAACTAAAGCGAGTTATTTATTAATATGCAAATTTTCTTTCACACACACACGTCTCTTACCGATGATAAGTGCTTTCCTCTCCGTATCTTCTAACTTTCTCATCTGAGGAGAGTTCCAAGCGAATGCAAATTTCTAAAAGACTAACACTCATAGTCATAGGGAGCAGTATTTAGTACAGTGATGAACCAGCTGTCAGCTGAAAATCACTTAAATAACACAATTAAAAAATGCAATGAGTGCGTCACGTGAAATTTACGGTCACGTTTTTCCTATACCTATACCTTGCTACACAGTTATAAAACCAGCTTTATGATGCTCCCATAAGAAAGTTACAAATGCATTCCAAGGTGAATA